ATTATTTTTGTTTGTGTGCAATTGAGAGCCCGTTAGAGAGATCAATGCGTTTTTGTTTGGTTCGCAATCCTGCTTGCTTGTGTTTTAACAAGAGGTTTTGCTTGAATAGATGTACATATGCGTATGTACTGAAGTTCTTGTTAAAAGAATATTTTATGTATTTATGCATGTTTTTGTTTTTTTAAGAGTTTGTTTGTTTGGTTTGCGTTTTAATAAAAAATAAAATTAAGGAAATTTTATTTCACTTTACCACTATGTTTATTCATTCGCAATTTGAAAATCACTTTTTAGTGAATGTTTAAATTTTTAATAATTTAATATTACCCAATGTTGAGTATGGTATAAAAATATAGGTAGATTGTATGCCGTATGTATGTATAAACTGGGCTTCTATATTTTGCAATACAAAGAGAACGCGAAAAAGGAATTGATAATGTGGAGGTATTCTCCGTATGCACATATATGGATGTAAATATTTACTTGGTTTTTGTAAATATATAAATATGTCGTTTGTATTTATTTTGTTTCTCTTTCTTTGTCTTTAAATTTTTTTTATATGTTTGTGCCTTTGCTTACTTATTTTAGGCAATCCTGCTTACTGTTTTTGTTAAAAATAAGGGGTATTGCCGGAAAATATTTGCAAGTAAATACTTGAATTCTGTTTTTGTTTTTTGTGTTTGTGAAATATGTGTGTTTGAAAACACGAAGGTAAGCTTATAGGCATTAGTAATTATATATTGAGTTTTGTAAATATTATATATTTCGAAACATATATTGTACCAAACTGTTTTCGGTTTTCCGTAAATTGAACCGAAACTTATAACAGTTTGGTAACCGCTTTATTATGGCGTAAAAACGGTATTTGAAATAACCAATTTTATATTAGTATATATATATGCATATAATAAAGTAACATAAAATAGAATGAATACGCTCACTTTCATGTTCCTCAAGGGGCTCTGTTGAAGGACGTGTGTTTGTATGTTTAATTCCTTGTTTAAATGATCGCGCCCGTTTATTTTGTTTTTATTTCTATCTTGTCTTTGGGTTTCGCGCCCGGTTTGTGTTTTAGTTGGTTAAAATGTTTGTATTTTTTGTTTTTGGCACGCACTTTATGTATACTTGTTTGTCAATATGTTTTTTTCTTTTTTTTTTTTGTATTATTTTTCTTCGCACTTTTGCATTATATTATATATACTTACATATTTATATGTGTCACTATATTTGGTTTTAGCTAACACTATTTTAGTTATATGTGTAAATATACATATGTGTACTTTTTTGTTTTTTCTTTAATAACACCACTTTTTCTTTCACTGCACTCCTTTCGTTTGTTTTTTGTTATCTATTCTGTCACTATAGCTTAGCTTGTTGTTTTTTTTTTATACTTTCGCAACTTGTTGCTGTTTTTGTTTATTTTTGTATACCGTACTGTTTTGTTTCACTGCACTTTTCTTTCTTTTTTTTTTTTGTTTATTTAAGTTTTCTCACCATATATGTGTATTATTTTTACGTTTGTGTGTAAGTATATACAAGTATTAACGTTTTTGCCACTTCGTAGCACATTTTTTTTCACATAAGTTATATATAGTTATATATTTATATACATATATACTTATATATGTATATAAATATATATTATATATAATTATATATGTATATAAATATATATATATTTTTGTAATCCATAGTGCCGGTCACTATGGCTCGAAGGAGCATGAATAAAACTATACACAATTTGCGTAGGAGCACACACCAGTGATCCAACACTAACACTCGATTCAATATAAATAAACGCAAGTGGCTCGGTAAATCAATAATTTTAGGTAATCCGCATTTACTAACAATATATTTTACACAAACGAAATTAAATGTATAATATAATAATTGATGGAATCGAACGCAGTGGGGGTCGTCTTGAATTGATGCGGTAGCGCGCAGGAACCGGTGTCCGAACGAATTATTTTAGCGAAGGTATGTGTGGCGCTCAGGCCCGTAGACGATAAGCGAAAAATGATGTGAGGGCGATGATCCCGTCCGTTTTGTTAGATGTACAGGTGCCGTGTTATGGTGTGTTTTCATCGAGTGGTGAGAACCTGTGATTGTTCTCTGGTGTGGTGTGTTGCATTAGGGTGCGCCAGTTGTTCCCGGAGAGAGTGGTGGTACTGAGGCTTAGCTCATTTAAACAAACAACGAGCTTAAAATGTATTTGAAAAAGGAGTCAGTGATTCAACAATTAGGAGAGTGCTTCGTGAAAACGATTTTCATGAAAGAACTGTTCGCAACAAGCCATTCATCAATAAGTGCAATAAACGCTAAGTTTGTTCTTGAGTACCAATTTATGCCGAACGAGTTCTGGCATGAGTTATTTTTACGGATGAGTCAAAGTTCAACAACAAGTATTTGCGTCTGATGGCAAACAAACAGTGTGGAGAAAACCAAATAAAGAGAGCTAATTACCGTGCGACTGTCAAACATGCAGGAGCATATGTGATGGTGTGGGGCTGTATATCAGTACACGTAGTGAGTAATTTGGTTTATATCGAGGATATTATAAACCCATATAGTTACATAGATATTATCAAAAGAAATTTAATATCAAGAGCTGAGAAATGGGAATCTGAACCATTTTAAGATTTATGCGGACATCGACTCTAAACACTGCTCATTTAATGCACGGTCATTGGAACTCTATAACTGCCCAAAAATATTGAAAACTCCGCGTAGTCTCTGGATATAAATGTTAGCGAATATCTGTGGTATCAACTTGAATTCAAAATTCGAAAGCGAGACCCTTGAAGAAGAGTTGAGTAAAATTAGCGTCGATACATGCAAAAAGTTAGTCGATTCGATGCCAAAAAGAATTAGTACTTTAAAAAATGTCAAAGGCAGCCCAACAAAATATTAAACTAAGTTTTGTGTTTATTTTCCAATTTATTCTAATAAAATGTACCTGTACGATTTTATGTAGCACACAAATTTTTGAGTTGTGAACATGAAACATTTTTTTGCTAACTTAACTACTGAATTTATTTTGTTTTTATGGTTAAATAAAAAGTTCAAATAATAAACAAACTACTAATTTTTATTTAATTTTTAAAAGTTTAAGTACAGTTCTATGCAGCATTTTATCAATTTTTCTAACGTCTACGATTTAAGTGACACTGTATAGTGTGCGTATGTACATACTTACATATATGCTGTTATCTGACACCAAGTCTTTCGTAGCTGCAACTAACCAAAAATAATAGCATGATAGCAAAGGGCATGCCTTACTCAAAGCCTTTTGAGTGCTGGACATTGTACTGCTGATCACAGGTTGTAGGAACACCTTTGAAAATAATGTTCGTGGTTCCATTATAGATAGAGCATTGCAAGTAAATCTTTGGCTAGAATGACAGAGTGGCAGGTGTGTGATATACCTATACACTCACAGTGACCATTTCGCTATCATGGTGGATTAGGCAATAACTCCCTAAGCCAAAGAAGAACTGCCCGGTAAAAATCACGAAAGATTTCGCGAAATCTTCAAGACCAAACGATAACAATTAAAAATGGCAATCAAAAGAGTAAAGCATCCAGCTTCATAAACTTTGCGACAAATTAGATGAAAATCCTTGAGGTGGAGCATACAAGTGATCATGGCTAAGGTTCGAGGTCCTAAGGGACAAGCGCCGCCAATCTGCCTGAGTCTCCTGAAAAATGTAGTTGAAACACTCTTCGCTAAACAACAAATGCGAGAAAAGATTGTTAACCAGTGAAGATGTAGAGTATATACTTATGTTACTGACAGAGAAGTCCCAAATGCTGTTGCCTGTTTTGAAATGCCTAAGCACCAGAGCTGGATGGCTTTCTAAATTGAGGTTTTGAAGATCGCAATACAGCACAACACAAGACGCTTTACAGAGGTCTACACAAAATGTGATGGTGTTTTCCCAATATGTTAGTCTAACTGCAGAAGCCAAATAAAATAGCTGGGGATTCAAGTGTGTATCAACCACTCTGCATGTTAATACAATTGCAAAAATTCTGGAGCGACTGATTTGCCAACGTCTCGAGTTGCACCTAGAAAAGTAAAAGATGGTCTACCTAACAACCCATACGGGTTTCGGAGAAAGCTTCACTGGGCTTGAACAGTTTTGGTTCGATTTAGACAATTCTTGGTCAAAAGGTGGCATACTTTAAACGTATTATTCACGCAAAGTTTTACCTCGACATAATCATTGTTGCTTGATATGCATATGGAACTTGAGTAAAAAATGAGCTATCTTCATGAAACTTGGTACACAACTTGGTTCTTGGTAATGTAAGACGGATGATATTGCAGATGGGCGTAATCGGATCACTGCCACGCCCACAAAACGCCATTAATCAAAAACAATTAAATTGTTATAATAAGCTCCATAATAAGATACAAGACTGGTATTTGGTATAACGAATCGCATTAGACAGAGGCATTTAAAGTTTAAAACCCTCTAATAGGTTTAATGTGCATATTTCCTCAAGTACTAAAGTTATAATAAACAAATTGGACAATGGCGTAGCACCGCCCACCTGCGGGTGTAAACCCATATCTCGGAATCTATTTGACCGATTTTATTTGGTATGGAATATTGGGTGTATGAATTAGCCCCCACTAAAATAACCCCACCGGGCAAAGACTTAAGCCCCACCAATTTCTCAGTGAATCTTTCCCCACCAAAAATTACGGAATCCCGCGAAAAAAAATGCAGTAAACCCAACGAAATGATTTTATCCCCACCAATCGAAATGAATTAAGCCCCACCAAACGTGGTTGTTCTTACATGACAGAATCCCCACGAAAAAAAGGAATTACTCCCACGAAAATGACTTTAGCCCACTTTACCTCATTTTTAATTTATTTTGCTTGCTTTAAACTTAAGTTTTAAATCAAAATTTTAACAAAATTCAATTATACATATGTATGTAATATTTAAAAGAAAATGGTAAAGAATTAAATGAAAATATGAAAATGTGAGAAAAGAAAATAATTAAATAAAAATATGTAAATATTCGTCGACATCTTGACGACAAAAGGGCATTTAAATTTATTAAAATTGTTTGCCACACTTTCTGCTTCTATTTTAGATGTGCAGTCACTGCAAAATTTTAAATGTTTGCATGGCAAAAGCAAAATATTATATTAGGTTTGTTTTCCAAACAAATTATGCATATCAGTGGAGGATTTGCTGCACCTTCTTCCGTGGCATTGGATTCTTCTTCGACTTCAGATTCTTCTTCCATATATTCTAAACCTTCGAATATGTCTTCAAATATATCAGTTACTATTTTGTTTCTAGAGAAGACCATTCTATCCAAGAAACTCGTAGTGGTTATGAGTCCATTAAGCAGGTCCGTCTCCGCTTTAGCAATTAGATTTGCTCTCATAACGTGTTCCTTTGTTTTTCTTTTTGGTTTCCCTAAAGCACCACCGCTGTTGATAACCAATTCTAATTCCCTACTTTTGTGATACTCCTCCATTTGTAACTGCCCTACAAATTTGAAAAAATTCCCTTGTTTTGGGATTATTTTGGCAAGCACAGCATTATACGATTCTACAGCTGATGTTGTACGGATCTTATTTCCAAAGACCGAAAGATTTCTTGGACCAATCTATAATATTTCGAATATTTATAATTTTTAAAAACAATTTAATGTAAAACAACTTACTTTTTTTAGCCATTGCTCTTCAAAGTATTTTAAAAAAGATTCAAATTTAAACAAGTGGTCGAAAGTGGAAATTTCTTCTTTGATGATGGAAAAGCAATTAACAATGTGTGTCTCCGGTAATAATGGGAGTGACAATATTTTGTGGTAAGATATAGATGCTTTCGGTTTGCCTAATAAATTCCGCCAGATTCTTGTGTTTTGTAGCAATATTTCTTCGTATTGCTTGACAATAGTGAAACCAGCACCCGAATAGCTTAGAATGTTCAAATATTTTTTTTATAGCACTACGCAATCCAATTTCAAAATCCGCCATAAACACCGCTCCGTCTAAGTTTACCACATTAGTATTAATATAGTTAAACACATGTTCGTAACTTTTTTGTTTTCTTGTTCATAAGAACAAATATAGCAGGAAACACCTGAGGAAAACAAAAAAAAATATTTATAATTGATCAAATTGAATATTATTATCAACATACCGTTTCAAAATATTCAATGTGAATAATTAAAAGCTGTTTGAAGCTACCAATGGTAAAACAAAGAAATGTTGCATCAACCAGTATTTTCTCTCTACATTTGAAGGAATATTTTCTTTCATTAGATTTATTATTTTGTCAGAACAAACAAACAATAGGCAAAGTCTTTTGCATCACAGCATATCTTAAAAATGTTGAGGCATCATCGCCGGTATGTTTTGTATACCCAAATTTTTCAAAGTTACTTCATCTTGAAATGCTTTGATAACATCAGCTGTTTTAGGAGAAATTAGAAATTGCTTATTTGCCAGTTTTGGTAATTTCGTTGGATTTTAAAAAATCAATTCTTTGTTTCCACCGGTATCTGAAATTATGACATTATGAGGTGATTAATTAAAATAAATAATAAAATAAGTTTGAACCTACTCAACGCAAGTACTTTGAAATATTTTTCGTATGCTTCCAAGAACGCTCGGTTCAGTGGAATCTTGATGTATTCCATACAGGATGTCTTCATATTATTCATAATCTTTAATTCCGTACGTATCCTCCTGAGTTTCATGATTATGATCAATGAAATCTTTAACCTTATAACACACCTCACTATTCAAAACACCCTCGCTTTGCATGTTTCACGTAACAAGCATAAAAGATTTTTCTTTTAAAAGTTTTTGAATATAATTGTTTTCCTCTGTAACATATAACAATTTGCTATTTATTCTTTTCCAACCAGGTGTTCATAATTTAAAGTCATGTTTTTATCACGTCGCGTTATTCGCTCAAGATTTCATAGCAACTAAATTTGCATAACATAATGTAATGTGATAACATAGTTAGTGCCGTTTTACACAGGGACTCAAAAGAGTCTCATACCAGTTTATTGTGGGAGAGGGACGACGAGGAAAGACGAAGGGACCGTGCCACTCGTGTTGGGTGGCACGCTTTGTTCTTGTTCGAAACAGCTCGCTGCTACCCTTTTCAGCATTCCTTTTCACTTTCAAATCCTTTGAATGGTTGAAGAGCGCTTGGTTTCAAATGAATTCGATCGCAAATTTGAATTCTGTTATCTATTTTTGTATGTAATATGCAAATATGTATGCATAGAATAATAGAAATATTTCAAAATGTAAATAAGGAGAAAATTAAGATATAGATTATGGAGTAAAGAAATTATGAATTTTAATACGGAGTAAAGAAATTATGAGTTTTAATACTTAAAGATTAGGAAATTCTATTATAAATTTGGCCTTGAAAATATTAGTAGCGGATATTCAATAATTCTTGTGATTAGGGAATTCCGCTCTTTAGTATTTCTTTGAAACTATTTAGCGCGTAGTACTTGTATTATTGTGTGACCATCATCTCAACATACAAACGAAATACGCAGCACGCAGTGTTGCGCAGTCGAACCGCACAATCATTTACGAAAATTTGTGAAAAGGAATGCAGAAAACTAGACTCGAGTTGCTGGACTTTTGACCGTGTGAATGCCCAGAGCGAACCAAAAGAAAATTTGAAAACATCAGACTCTTTTGAATCCCAATGTGAAACGGCACTTATTAGACAATTGAATGCAAAACAGGTTTAACAGTTAGTTTACGCTCTATTATTGAATGCAAAAACCAGCAGGAAATTCACTATCCCATGAAAAATAGCTGTAAGAGATGGATTTTATTATATGATTATTTACAAAATTATGGTTTCTCCTTTTACGAAATGTACACTGTGATTTTAACCTTTGTAAAGGAAAATTCCTTCTATTATTTTATAACTTGCAAATTATGGTTTCCTTTTACGAAATGTGCACTATTAGTGATTTTAACCTTTCGTAAAGGAAAATTCTTGACAATTCAATCTTTAGAGTGATTATTAAAACAGTTCTGTGTATTCTGCATAAAATGAATATAGAAAATTGAAACAAATAGAGAATAATCGTATAACGCAAGGAAGATCTTACTACATAAAGCGATACTATAAACTTTTCTCATATTCCTGGATTTATAATTGATTCTTTTTGGAAAAAGTTATAAGGCGCAATTAATAGTTTGTGTTTTTGCTTTCGTTAATGGAATCAGCGAGTCGCAACTCTTTCAACTAATACGATGGATACCGTTCACAAAACTCACTACAAAAATATCAGATTTACTCTTATGGCTTGAAAATTCTCCAAACGCTCACAAGTACTATAGCTATAATGTTATACTTAATCAAATAGTTTTTTGTAACGGAGACTTACGAAAATATGGAGAAAGAAAGTAAAGAAATTAAATAAAATTTGAAAAGTATTATATTTTTACGTTGCTAACTGTTTGTTTTATTTTTATAAAAGATCACGGAATTAAAATGAATTAAACCCCACGAAAATGCTTTTATCCCCACCAATCAAAATGAATTAAGCCCCACCAAACGTGGGGGTTCTTACATGACAGAATCCCCACTAAAAAAAAAAAAATTAATCCCCACGAAAATGACCTTAGCCCCACTTTCCGCCATTTTTAATTTTGTTGTAAAATTGGTGGGGCTTAAGTCATTTTGCCCGGTGGGGGTTAATTCAGTGGGGGCTAATTTATACACCCTGGAATATTATCCTGACATGCCTATTTTCAGTATACAAATCAAGCACTAATGAATTCCTTGACATAAAACTTTACAAAAAGTAAACCGAAGATGTGACCCCAGTGTCGACTTTTCACCGAAATTATATTTAAATGTATGAGATATATATTTGCGATTGAGAGAGAATCCTTTATTGATAATATTATGTCTGTATATCAAAAGTGGGTTTAATCGGGTGAATACTTCTCTATGCCCCCACATACTTAATAAAACGATTTTCGAACTTCCGGATGACTTTATATCGCATATTACGGCCGCTTATGTGAATTATCGTAATAAAATTGAGTGGGCGCGTATAATAACGGTGCATATGTGTGCCTAAAACTCATAATATCGATTTATGATCAATATGTAAGATATCGTTAAAAAACGTAAGTGAACGTATAATATTGGTTATACTATAGCCTAACACCGGAAAAATGTGAATTTCCCATTTACCACATATGTAAATAAAATGATTTCTGTTATTTTTACAAACCGTATGCCGAATATGTCGGTCAGTGTGTGAGTTATTTATTTATAAAATTGATTGAAAGTATGTTCTCTGGTATACCTTAACAACGTCAATAGTTAATGCAGCAAGACCAACATTTCTCTGTCCCCATATAACTTTTATAGTGATTTCCAACTTTTCAGATGACTTTAAACCGTCCGGGTTGGTCAAAATGTTTGATATTTTAATGAAATTATGTGAACAAGTTTTCCTAAAAATTATATTAGTGATTTAGTGCTGAATATATAATGATTTGGTGTAAACTTTGAGTTTAGTTGAGTTTATATCGCATATGTGTATCACATTTGAAGATTTTTTGAATACAATCATAATAAATGAGCCACAAGCATTAAATTTCACAACCAGGATGGTAGAGAAAGTTTGTTTAGGCTGGTGTGAATATTGGATAAGGGGCGTGTCACCGCCCACCTTTAGTTGAAATATTATATCTGGGGAACGACTAATTTCAACCAAATTTTGTATATAAGATTGCCCAAACATTCCTATTAGACACTGCAAAAATGTGAAACAGATGACAACCGATCCAAATTCCCATATAGCAAACTTTCAAATTCCGTCTGATTTGGTTGATGACGTGGTCACGCCTTTATTTAAAATTGATGAACAAATGAATCAAGGTCGTCGATTATGAACGACATTATAAAACTGTTTTTCGAATGTGCTATTTTAATTTTACCCATACCTTTCTTGTAGGAACTGAATATACATACATATGTACATACACATTGCCATGGAGATCTTGTTTTATAAATTGTGTAGAAGGTATAATTTTTTTATAAAGAGGAAAAAAGCAATATAAGCGCAAGCGTTGTAGCGTTTAGCGAATGAACCAATTTATACAAAGATTCTTCTTTCCACATCCAAAATCGTTTTTAACGCCTTCGTTTGCTTCTCTATAAACAATTATAATTGATATTAAGTCTTATGTTTAAACCTTTTTTATGTCAATATCTTGTCATTTGAGCTATTCACAATATAAAATCTAGTCCAAAATATGCAAAACAAAATTTGTAGCGTTGAAGATAGCGATTATAAGTACCCGCATACTTTCTTGTACGAATCCAACTCGATAACTTTGTTGTTGCATTTGCATGTATGTACATATTTATTTTGGCAAGAGAGTAGCGCATAAAAGCGAGTCGAAGACAAACATGTACATGAAAACATTCATGAAAGAAAATGTCAATGTTATCACTCTTAACTTTGAGCGATGACACGGTGCAGAATCATCTTGGTAAATAAAACATCTATTTTTATTATTTCGGCGAATGTTCCTGAGTTTATAGTACTATCTAGTATTATTATTTCGTCAATACCAAAACTTGTAATATCTCCAGTGTTACCGATGGACAAATCTTGATTACCTTTTCCTCCAAGCTCGATTACCCGTTTTTACCCGACACTGTTACCAACTCAAATCCAAGAGCTGCTCATCCTTGCAATATTAAAAAAAATAAAATGAATATTTATTGATCACAATGCTTTATTTTAATTAATACTTTTATAATTTTTTTATCAAATACTTTTGTAAATTTAACACTTACAATTATTATAGAAGTCATAACGTAACATACATAAATATACTTTTTCAAAACATCTTTTTTATCCCAAATTTTAGCATTTAACATTTCATCATTAGGCTCAAAATTAATGATATCATTATCTTTGGATAAAAAGTTTTTTGTAATCAAAATAGACTTTAAAGTATCAATTGATAAATTATTTCTATGATCTGTTTTAACATTTAAGGTCACTACAAATTCTCTCAACCGATACATTTGAAAATAATAAAATTAGTAAAAAGTATACATTTTTAGATTGTTTAACATAAATTCATTATGTGTTTTTTTCATACTGAAGATTTCACCCCATTAATCTTCGGAATCTAGATTTATATCAATGTTAAAATCAGTCAAATCCAATAATGCGTACCTTTTCCATTCA